ACTTCAACTAAGAGTTTATTTATAATTTAAAGATTTGCCTGAGTTATTAATATAAAGTTGGTAATAGTTCTGCATCAAGTAGGAGGTTGGTCTAGATCCTTTCCGACCAGCTTTTTTGATTCTGTAAGTTTAATGGAAGGAGTAATTGGCTACTATTTCTGCAGGACATTGAGATATATTTATGGGTGCCTACAGAAGTCTGTTCAAAACAAATGGCCAGCTAATACTACCATGAGAACCAGGGTTGTTAGGTAAGTTACTTGTCAACCTTATTCTGGAAATATTTCTTTGAAGCCTTGTTGGAGACATACTTCAGTATGCTTATCTATGTTTATTTCAGTATGAACTTACACAGGTACTGCAGTGTTTAAGATATTTATGATGATGAAGCACAATGTCCCAGTTAAAGATTGAGCTTGCTGGATTCTTTGTCTTGTTCTTAGAGCCTTGCCAAAATAAAATGATATAGTATAGAGGTCAGTATAGCTTTACTTAATGGTTTTAACTTTGAATTTACAGTACTACAGCCTAATCATGTTGAAATATTCTGGAGCTCCTCTGAAAATGCTGCTGGAGGTTACAAAACCTGGCTCTTCTGAACTCAAACCAGCCACCAAAACTCCAGTCTACATTACTAAACCAGCACAATACAAAACTAACTCTAACTCTGTTAATTGCCAGGGCAGGTGAAACAAAAACCTTTCACAAAGCTGCGGTCTTGACACTTTTTTTTCTAAATGTGGCAGGGATTTTAAGGGTATTGGAGCCTCAGCTTTTCTTTTTTTGGTGTCAGGCAGTTGTATGGTTAGCAGAGGTTAATCTCCCATGGAGGGATCTTTCAGAGTCTTTGGCTTGTATTTATCATTTTGACACCAGAAGCTTTATGTGTTTCATTCTGTGAAGCGGCATTGCCTTCAAATAGAGACTGCTCCTACTTGAGAGCTTCTTTTACTCTGAGGGGCTAAGCTGCTGGAGGGCTGTAAAGGTCAGTAGTGAATTCCCTATCTCTGGCTGTTCCTCCCCAGCTCCAAAGAGGACCATGTGGCTTTCCTTAGTGAACACGCAGCTCACTTTCAGAGTTTTCCCAGTAGTCTCCACTGGATGCTAAAAATATTTTATCACTTGCTTTTGTGGTGTTCCATTTTCACAAGTGGATACTAGAGATTTCTCTTTGGAGTGCAGTTTTCACAGCCTTCAGTGATGTTTATTACCTTCCATTGTGCTATTTTTGGTTTAAGAATGATTCAGTATTCAGAGCCAGATGGACAGTTTTTCATATCTGGGTATCTCTTCTCTGTTGTATCAGTCATAATGTGCTACCATTTCTCTCTGGTTTAAAACTCCATTATAGATATTTGCTCATTCCTAATTTAGGCAGGTTGACAAAGGTAAGGAATATCAGATCTTCCCTATCAGCAGGGTCTCTGCTAGATGTGTACCTTGCTGGCCTTCAATTTTGGGCACTTCTAAAAGAGTGACTGGTGTATGTGCCAAGACTTCAAAATTAATTACTGACTTGTAGCTTTGAATTCTCACCACAGAAATTATTTTAGCGTTACCTCTGGCCAAGAACTGTTTTCTTGCCAGCCCATAACTTGTATTTCTTAGAGATAAGATACATGTATAACAGAACATACTAGGTATCTTGGACTTATAGAAGGTGCATCAACGTCACTATATTTGTCTCTTTAAAGAAATGTGGACTAACTGTGTACTTTACAACAGGCAAAGTTCCCTTCCTCCTTTCATTACAATTCAGGCTCTGGTATTGCTGTGGTGAAATCCAGCCTGCTGGTGGTGTCCAAGGATAAAATTACAGATATTTTAGATTGATTTAATTGGTCTGTATGTCACTTCATTATACAACAATTAGCTAGAGTTGAGGTTAATGTGAGTGGTGATTTTTACTTCTGGTATTAACAGGAAAATAGATTTCTCTCATGCTCCTGAAGCCTATTCTGGGTTCGGGCTGAATGAATTCCTAGTTCTGCAGTTAGAACAGAGCACTCTTTTTCCAGCTTTTAAAATGGCAGCAATTCTTTCATGGTGGCAAGCAGCAGATCCCTCATTTTTCTACTGAAGTGTAGATCATCAGGATAATGGATCAGCTGAAGCTGACCTAAAGGTGTGTTCTGCCAAGAGATATCTTTTTGCTCATCCACTCCTGTTCTCGAGCTTAGAGTGGCTTGGGGAAGTGGCTGGCTGTGAGATGGATGCAGTAGCAGACAGTGGAGAAATTTTTGGGAGGTCAGAGACCAAGAGTGGCTCCTTTTTGAGACAAGCATGGTCAGGGATTGGCTTCATAATTACTTGGCAATTAATTTCCTCCTACATGATTAAACAGTTCATTCACCTTTACTGGGAAATCAATGTGCCTCCTCTTTGAGATTTCATTGCTGTTCGTAGAATCATAGCATGATTATCTTGATTTATATTTTTACATAGCACAGGCTAGTTTCTTGGTGTTTGTCTCAACAAGATCCCACATTATCTTTATTCCTGAAAGACTACACAATTTCTTGTATTTTCTAATGGTTTTGAACAAAATACAATTTTATTTTATTTCAGTGGCTTTGTTTTTCTTCGACTGATTTGTCCTGCTATCCTGAATCCAAGGATGTTTAATATCATCTCAGGTGACTATGTGCTTCAGATCAAATCTATACTTTATGCAGCAAGAGACATGAAATCACTGTAGTATCTAAGGTAGCAAAACAGGAAGTTTTTTTGAATGCTGTGTTTCAAGTCAAGTTATCCACATCATTTGGCTAACTTCTTAGGGTATAGGCTTTTCACTCTCAAAGGCTTGATTGCAGATACCCCCAGTATAATTTAAAGTCCAAAAAACATCTACTGTGATATTTAATAATAAAATTTTGAGTCAAGTCTAGCAATGTTTAATGTATTTTAGCACTGTGAAAAATGTAACTATGGGAACTTCAGACATCATTTTCAATACAGTGCAATGCCAGAGTTAATAGCTGTATGCAGTGGTATTTCTGAAATGTACAAGTTATAAAGTTGGTTTGTGTGTCTACAGAGCTTGGAATACATTTGTGCACCTAGAAAATTTTTCTTGAATAATTTGAATGTCCTGCTTAGATGGCTTCCAGCCATTAAATACAGTAGATCTTAGATACAGAATCTTAAAAATGAGAAAGGGATGGCCTTCAGAAAGGCTGAAAAATAGGAAATATAGGAGAAAATAAAAAAATCTGGTTCAGAAGATCTTTTTTCGTTATTCAGAGACAGTTTTTAAGACAATGTGGCTTGTTTTCTTATCATCAATCTTTAAACTACTAAATGAGAAGGATTGTGTCAAACAAAGTTCCTTTCTCTCACAGAGTAATCATTTCTGTACACACTTTGGAGAAAGCATTTGAGAAACATGGCCTGGAACAAGTGATAATTTCTTTGGCATTTTATTATCTTTGGGTGGTTTGCAAGTTAGGTACTCTCCTAACTTGGGTTGCCCTGTGACTACAGGTGTAAAGAACTACTTAAAAAATTTGAGTAATGCCTTTTGAGCTTGTCCATTACAATCCTGCTGAGTTACCTCCAGCTAGTATTCTCGACTGCTGTTAAGGGAAACTTACAGACCATATAACCCTAAAACCCTGTCAGTGGAATGTTTTCAACCAGGCCATTTACCTTAACCAGAGAAAAGTAATTTTCTTGGTAACATCACTTGTTGGAAAAATTCCGACTTCAGTGGTTAATGTGAAGTGTTTATAGTCGCAGTCAGTAGACTGGAGTTTCATGGAAATACAGGCTATGATTGCATGTAACATTCACTTTGTTTTCCTGCTGCCAGTAACTTGTCAGTGCCTACTTAAGTGGGATGTGGGTTTAAGCAGATAAGAAAAATGTAAACCTTTTTTTTTTAAATTTTTTTTATTTCAAAGGTAAATGTTTTAACAAGTTTCAACAAAACTCAAGTTTTGAGCAAATGGTTATCATTTCACCTAACTCTTAGTAACATTTAGTTAGGTCATGTTTTTATTTTGCCTTCTTGGTCTGTGCTACTATTACAGAAAATAAGATTATCAGATTAAGATGGCTTTTGGACATTACAAAAGCAATATATTTTACTTTACCAAGTGATATCTTTCACATGCAGTTGTTTTATATTTAAAAAATCAATAAAAATATGAATGGGAAAAGAATTTATTTTCATGTGACTGCTGTTAATTTTAAATCTAATGGCCAGTGACTCTCTACTGTGCATTCCTGCCAGATTCTCCTTCCCCCACTGCTGCAAGAACACTGACGCTGGTCGCCAAGTCTGTGCAGAATTTAGCAAATCTGGTTGAATTTGGAGCTAAGGTGAATATAATTTTACATACAGAGAACAACCTGCAGAGAACTGTGCTTCCAGTACACCTTTCATATGTTCCTGTTCAATGCATGCAAAAAATTTGTTGCTATTTTCTCATGCAGAACCTATGACTTCCTCTTCCTTTACTTTGACCGTGCGTTTATCACTTGATAGATTGGTGTTTTCTGTGGTAGAGCACTTCAAAGCTGTCCTGTTTATACTATCATACTGCTAGACATAATGAAAACTCTAAGTCAAGTGTACTTATTGCACTAATAAGCCCAAGCTTTCAATGAAGTTTCTATTAAAACACTGAGAGAATGCCAGCAGTGACTGGTATCAATTTCCAGGCTGAAACGTTGCTAAAAGTACATCTGTTGACTTAAGCATAATTAACATGACCAGGCTGGTGTGAGAAGGCTGTTTCTCTGACACACAGAACTTGGAATGTGAGAGTTAATGACAAAACAGGAAAGAAAGCACTTGTTCCTGATGATACCTCTATACACAGAGCATCTATTCATTGCAAGCAGGTATTTAGAGACACTCATGTTGATGCAAATTTCTATCTGTATGCATGCGTAAGAAGAATTCTGAATCACAGGTTGTCTATCTTTTGAATACAAGAAAACCAAATTCTGTAGTCTTTTGACCGCCAGCACACTAGACATTAGAAATACACTTGAAAAAAATATATTATTTTTATTTACATACTCGTTTTGCAGTGTCATTTGCCTGACTGCACTGTGTTCATCTCAGATGTGACAATTATCTTGGCAATGATTTGTTAATGAATACTTTTTAAAATTATTAGGAGCCATATATGGAAGGGGTAAATCCATTCATCAAGAGCAACAAACATCGCATGATCATGTTCTTGGATGAGCTTGGGGTAAGTAGTTAAAAAAATATTTGCTGAAGTTACATAGCAGAATTGTAAATTAAAATTTTTTACACTTCTTATTAACTAGCTCAGTAATGCATCAGCTGCCACATAATTTTGAATGCTTTTATCTGAGTATACTTTTTAATACTTATTTAAAAATTCCTGGTCTGTCATATGGAATTAAAACCATAACTTATCTGTGTAAGATTTTATTAATTTAGTGCCTCTGTAAATGTGAGAAGCTGAAATAGATTCTATAGCCATGAGATTAGAAATATTAGGCAAAAATGCAAACCTTTCACAAACATGTTTTTAAACCAGAAATTTTTATATATAACTTGTCACATGGTTTTAATCAGAGACTGAAGATAATTTTTCTTTAAAAAATAGGTTGAATTTCAGTTAGCACTGGCAAAAGCTTCACTGTGTGCATTCTACATATTGTAGTTTGAAAGTGAAATGCTGTCACTCTGTTCTTATGAAACATGACTATTTTGTGGGTGTGATTGCTGTAACAGGAGTTAGGTCATGTATTATATGTATGTATTTTAAATGCAATAATTCATTTAATAAAGTGAGATGAGAAAAATATGCTAAGCATCCTGAATTAATCCTTTAGAAGTGTCCTAGAAGGTATCTCAAAACACTTAAAAGTGTGGCATGTGGGTAGGTTCCAGATGTCATCCTTTTCTGATAAAATCACAACTTCTCCATATTATGATACATCAGTTTTCTTTAAATGACAGATTTTACATGAGGTCTCTGATAACTGTTGGTTTGAAAATATCTGTTGGATTATTCTGCTGTTTTAATTGCAGCATTATTGGTTTATCATCAGTTTAATGAATTACTTAATAGGTAACAGCAGATTTTGCTGAATTTTGTTGCTTTTCTCTCATTTAGATTTTAAAAAGCTCCTAATGGATGGATTTTCCCTTCATTTAGAGGGTTTGAGTCTCAAAATGCTGTAGGTTTCTGGTGAGCTCAAAGGTAGAGCTCCAGATCTTGTAGTAAGAATCCTCCTAGCACTACAAATTGCAGTATCCTCACAAAACACATGCCTGTGAAGAGAAGAAGGTAAACAGATAATTAATAATAGAAGGGTGGACTGGAGGTTTAGCTGGAAAGACCAGAGTTGGACTTGGCACCCTAAATCTGCTGTCTTTTACTTTGTTGAAGAATGTTCCTGAGCTTCCAGACACCGCAGAGCACTCTCGAACTGACCTCTCCCGTGACCTAGCAGCTTTGCATGAGATCTGTGTGGCACACTCAGATGAGCTCCGGACGCTCAGCAACGAACGAGGGGTGATGCAGGTGAGTTAACAGAAATCACAGGTAGTGGGTGCTGAGTCCTGAATTACTCCTCAGTACTGATGGATTCTTTTGTGGTATTTTGGTTAGCAGTATGATGTTGTATTTCACCACGGGGTTATTAGCTGTGAAGGAAGTTCTTAATCCATAGTTTTGTTCCTCCATGCAACAAAACCAACTAGCTTTGGGTGTTTTTCTAAGTTCCTGGAGGAAGCCTTAAACCCACAAAATTACTGTCTCCTGACAGACTCTCTCAGTTTTCAGATCTGGATTTTTTTTTTCAGTTGAGAACCAAATTCACTTTCTTTAGCTTTCTATTAACACCTCATTTCTGCTTACTAGTTTGCCAGTACACTTGTATGCTTGGAAAACTGCTGGCAAATTTTAATAGTGTGTTGTGTTAGCTGTACACTTCCTCTGCCTTCCTGTTAACCACAAAGAAGCAAGAACATCCATGAGAGGACAGGCAAAGTCCATAACATCATTTTAAGACTACCCTTATTGGCTACGGAATCAGACATTTTCTCTTTTTAGCAATGCATTTAAACTTCAAGTCGCAGGTCAGATAGGCTGATGCTGAAAATGCTGCTCAGGCAGGCCTTTTCCGTTCTTCAGTAGCTAACATGTAGTTTTACTGACTCACTCTTTTTTACAGCATGTTCTTAAGAAGCTTTTGGCCATTACTGAACTGCTACAACAAAAACAAAATCAGTATTCGGTGTCTAACAACATCAGGTAGCAGCTCTCTACCTGAATTCCGCATGGATCCAGCACGCCCAACCTGGCAACTCTCACCAGTATCACTTCCTTCTTGCTCTTGCCAAAAATAGCACACCCTGTCACATTCCCAGTGATGTGTGAACTATGCAAAAAGAAAACAAAGATCCTGTTGGTGAATGATTGTACCAGCAGCTTTTTTTTAAGCTATCTGTGCAGGACATTTGCACTTTTTTTTTTCCACTTGGAAACAATGAAATTTCACAACCTCTGAGCCTTGGTGTACAGTTAACCTTCTGCAGAGAAAATGCTGTGACTGTGTCTAGGACTTTGAAATTTTCAGCACCTCTGATTGCCAAAGTTTTTGCTGTCTGATTGGAAAAGAATTATCAACTGACATGAGAAGAAAGGCATTGTTCTGACAACCAACTATAAATAACCGGATAACATTTCTTACAGTAATTTCTGACTGGTTACAATAATTATGACTTTTGACTGTTTCAACCACTTTTAACTTGTATTTAGTTTCCAGAATTTGATGTTATGGTAGGAACAACCTTTACTGTACATGTTTTTATACCATGCTGTTTCTCTTGCTGGAATGATGTTAAAAGAGAACATGCAGAATGGGTCTTGTCAGCTTTATTTTTTTGATGTGCCACTGATTCAGTCTGAATAGTTCTTCCATCAAGAACTGTATATCCAGATAAATCACAATGCTTTTGTAAAATGTTTACAACAGTAAATAATTTGAATTCACTAAATTTATTGATCATTATATCAGACATGCATGCATACATTAAACCATTTTATAAAATAGGTATTGTTTGGTCTTTTTTGTACTGTAAGTCTAGCAAAAATATTTTTATAAGTGAAAAGTAAGTTTTTAAAATAAATCAAGCTGCATATTTCTAACTCTATGAAAACTGGCTTCATGGCTGCTGTGGAAATTTTTTAGTGTTGGCACTGGTGGCATACTTTGCAGCGTTTACACTGTGTCACTTTTTGAGCATGAGTCCTCAGACAGCATTACCTTGTCCTAATGCCTTAATTTGTACATCTTTGGGTGAGAAAATATGTTAAAACTCCTTGCATAGGTTGAGATTTAATAAAAAGAAATGCTTCCCTGTGAGTGGGCTGACGCACTGGGAGAGTGCCAGAGAAGCCAGGGATGCCCCAGTCCCCAGAAGTGTTGAAGGTGACGTTGGACGAGGCTTGGAGCAACCTTGTCCAGTGTTCCTGCCCACTGCAGTGTCACAAACTGTTAAAAAAAATTGAGAAGTAAAATGTGCTGTTGATTCAGAGGGTATTTCATCATCAGTGTGTGTTATGTTCTAGGCAGTGATATAATAATAGGGAATAAAATGATTCACTGACAAGTCTAGTGAGATAACCACATAAAGAATTTTAACATACAAACACTGTTGCAAATCTTTACAACATCTAGAGTGTTTTTCCTATCTGTCAAAACTGCCAGATCACTGTCACATAAAATCAGAGACTTTGCTTTTGCACCTTTGCTGTAATACTAAAGTGGCTCTTGCTATGTTGCCCTGGTCTCCAGCTGGAACAGCTTCTTGAAGGTGAAAGCTCCCAAATATCGTATGCATGGCACTGGCAGACACATGTGATGCTCCTCCATAGTGACAATACATGTGTTTGCAACACCTTGTTACTATAGAAGTCTTTTCTTAGATTGTTCCATAACCATGCCAAGTCTATGTTAAACTGCATCTCAGACAAGTAAGTAATTTACCTTTCAGTGTGTCCTACTTAAAACTTTAACAGAGTGTGTAAAAGGGATTCTTTTGTAGATTTGGTTGCTTTGGTACAGGCAATATAACGTGGTAAAAATACAAACCGGAAGACAGAGCTGCCTACCTAATTTACCTGTTAAACACAAAATGCAGCAAAGACAATCAAACTGGGGAACACCCAAAGCTGCGTGTACGTGTTGCTATTGTAGAACTCTCACTGGGTATATGAAAAGGAAATAAATCAGCTGGTGCTCATAACACTACACTGCAGCCACATCAAACTGTTTCTGAACCAAAAACAAGGGTCAGATTTCTTGAAGCAAATCTTGCTAGTGTTGGATCTGTAATAGATGAGGGTTTAATTGAACCACAACTTTTTCTTTTAGGAAAGTAAAAAGCTTTACTGCCAAGGTAAGAACTAACAGTACAAAGACCTTATAACACATAATAAGGAACCTGTGGCAGGCAGTCACACCTGACACCAGAGGGTGGTAGGAGTCCATCTTCCTTCAAAGTAATTCTGAATCCACAAGATCATCATCAGTCCACTCTTCCTAACAGAAGGAAAAAACACAGCACCTTGAGTGACATTTGTAGGTGGTGGTGTGGTGTTTAGGGGCTGGATTTAAGAACTTACAGAGAAATTCCATGAACAGAAAACTAAAAAAATATTTTAACTTGGGGCAATTCAGGCCTTTAACCTTAAAGCTAGTTATCCATACCTATGCTTACAGTCATGGACACAGAATCATGTTGACACACTTTTCAGCACCTGAGATAAGGAAGCAGGAGCTTTATGTTGGATAACTATGTAGAGATTTCCAAAATAGCTCATATTGCACCTTCTACTGATGTCCTGTGCTTTTCATGGCTTTGTAGATTACAGTCTAATATCAGCTAACTACAGGATTAATGAAGCCATTGTTAAGATATGAGCAGTTTGCACACACTGTAAGCTTTCAAAAAGTTAAGCACACTTTCTGCTTGATGTCCTGGCCAGCTGAGATTGCTCTTTCATGTGGTTATTACTCAGCAAAAAATACACAAGTAGAAACCCAGTTCAGATACATCACTAATGAAAAACCGTGAGTTTCAGGACCTTTGGAACTGTAAGAAAGTTGATCATAAAGTGCTGTAGGCTATGTGAATATCCTATCAGGTTACTCCTTTAGGAAATAATTAGAGATATAAATTAAAAACAAGATCCAAAATCAAAATTGCCTCAGACCATAGCAGAGTAACTAATACAAATTAAACTGGGGCAGGGAACAAGTGAAACCTCCAAAGCTCATATGGAGCTGTTAGTTTTAAGTCATTCTGTCATAAAGTGAACACTTTTTCAAGTGCCTGTTTTATGGAGTTGCCAGTTTTAGTATACTTTTGAAGACTGGCATTTGGAATGAAAACTTATTAAAAATTTTTGCAGCAATAAAATTATAAAATAAGTTCAAGGTCCTGCATATTGTTAGCATATACCTTCAATGCCAATTTTATTATAATCTTGTCTTAATAATTTAGAGTCTCATCTGACACTATAGCATCAACCTACTATGGATAATCTCTAATAGCAAGACACAAATCTTGTATTTTATCTTCACATTTTGGTAGGTGACCCTCTTTAGATGTTAGCATGTTTTTCTAAATGCCATACTTAGTGTGTCTTAGACTATCAGTATCCAGCATCTTTAGTATCAAAATGAGTCTAATTAAAAAGGTTCTACACCACTGCCAGCATGGACTCTCTCCTACCCATTGTCCAAACAAAAGCTCTGGAAGGTGTTCATCTCAGATGCGAAGGACGACCTTAACACTGTTTGTATTTGTTGAGTCACTCTTGTCAGTTTATCTCCACCTTAGTTATACTTGGTCTTATAACGCAAAGTACTAGCAACCAATCTGTAATTCATGCAGCCTTGTTAACAAATTGTCTGACATAAATTTAGTCCAACACTCTATACTGCTTTGAGCAAGAAACCAAATAAAGCAAATAAAAACTTCCAAAGCACAATAAACAGCAGGAAGCATAGTCTGCATGTTCACTCCCCTTTCCACAAAAGACCAGGAATGTTCAAGAACACTTCAAGTGCAGTCAGGTATGAAATCTGGCTCACTTAAAGTGAAAAGAAAAGTTGAAAAAGGTTCAGTCTGAACAACAAATAAAATTATAATACAGATGCATAAATTTATCTCAGTAGCTGTGTCACTTTTGTCTTGGCATTAAGGGTGAAAAAAAAAAACAGGAAAAACTTGTACAATAGGTTTACTAACCTCATCCATTTTACATTTCTTTGTCACATATTCATCATCTTCATAACCTTTCCTTTTCTTCCTAAACCGGAAGAAAAGTGAAATGCATAGATATTTTTATAAGTTAAGACTCTCATTATTTGACCCCAGGATTACAATATGGACATACCTGTTTCATTAAAAAAAATACCAAAGCCTCAGCATGCAGTTTGCTGGAAGTTCAGGGTGCAGTCCTCTGCCATCCACATAATTCTTAAGAAAACATTAAGCCTTTACAGCATTCTTGTTTTAATCGCCTGATTTTAAAGCCCTTAGTTCTCATCACATACAACATCAAGTGGTCACACCTTAGAAGCCACCCAGTATTCCAGTTTTGTTTTACAAAATAATCAGCTTGCCGTGCAGATCTGCACAAAAGAACCTGTTCACGTATTACTGAAAGCACTACTTTGAGTCTTTGACCTCTGCTTCCAGTAGATACAGCAAGCAGGCAAACACTGTGTGCACATTTAAGGGTTTTCATTTTCCATCACTCACACAGGTAAGAAAATATTAATGTTCATATGCCAATAAAAAAGGCCAAAGTTTAACACAGCCAAGATATACTTACGGGTTTGTATTAAATGAGAGGTCCAAGCTGTGACACTTCTCTAATTTCTGTTTTAGAGCAGCAACCTCTTCAGGCCTCGGCAGTTCATATTTTTTAATGAGATTTTTCATGCCTAAAATGGCAACAACACAGCTGTAAGCACACAGATAATTTCTGGTCTGCCTTGTTGTGTTGGGTCTGCATGGCAAGATGTTGGTAGTGGGGGGCCTATAGGAGTGGCTTCTGTGAGACGCTGCTAGAGGCTCCCCCTCATGCACAACAGAGGCAATGCCAGATGGTTCCAAGATGTATCCAGCACTGGCCAAGGCCAAGCCTATTAAGTGACAGTGGATGTACATCTGTGATACATTTAAAGGGCAAAATCCAAAAACTGATGCAACACTAATGGCTGCAGGAAAGAGGAATGAGAATATGAGAACATCTACACTCTACCAGGGTCAGGGAGACCCATGCGGAAGGAAGTGCTCCAGGCACAGAAACAGATTCCCCTGGTGCAGACCATGGTGAAGCAGCTGTGTCCCCTCATGGAGGTCAGCAGGAGTGTGGAGCATGCAGCTGCACCTGCAGCCTATAGATGAGGTGACATTGGAGCAGGTAGGTGTGCCTGAAGGAGGCTGTGACCCCTTGGGAATACTATGCTATGTACCATACCATGTAGGGAAGAGAAACCTACACTACAGAATGTTTGCTGGAAAGACTTGTGACCCCATGGGAGACTGGCACTGAAGCAGCCTATTTCTGAAGGGCTGCATCCCGTGTAATGGACCCACATTAGAGCATTTAATGAAGAACTGCAGCATGTGGGAAGGACTCATGTTGTAAAAATTTGTAGATAACTGTCTCTGAGGGAGGGACTCCACACCGCAATGGGGAAAGAATGTGAGGAGGAAGGAGCAACAGAAACACTGACTCCCCCCTGCACTGGAGGGAGAGAATTCATGAGTGAAATTAAATCCAGGAAGAAGGGAGGGGTGAGGGAAAGGTCTTTTTAAGATTTGGTTTTCACTTCTCATTACCCTACTCTGATTTGATTGGTGATTAATTAATTTCTGCAAGTTGTGTCTGTTTTGCCCATGATAGTAACTGTAAGTGACCTCTCTCCCTGCTCTTATCATGAACTTGCTATTTTTTTCCTTTCCCCTGCCCAGCTAGGGAGGTCAGTGATAGAGTCTTTGGTGGTCACTTGGCAACTTTGGTGGTCACCCACCACACTTGTGAATCACACGACCCTATTCAGTCTCCAGTGTGGCTAAGTATTGCTTATGTCATAGTCATGCTCGAGCCAACAGGTCATCCTTCCTTTTCTTATTTTAACTACACTGAAAGTATCCAGCATCACTAACTCTGGATTTCCTTAAGGCAGAGTTCACATTACTCTGCTAACAAGCTTCAAAATATACAGGTATTTTTTGCAATCAACACTGTACCTGCTGTCTTAAAAATTACCAGTTCCAGTCTTTCTAATAATGCAAATTAAATTTACAAGTTTTTTTTTCTCTACCACCAGTACTCTGTAGAAGTAATTAACAAATGTTTGAAAAATTTCCTTCCAACCATCTTATGTTTACAGAAGAGCTACCTTTGGGCTAAAGCTACCATCCACAAAAAGACTGAAGTGAATAGTAAGTGATCCCAGCATTCCCTTCCATCGCAGCAATGGAAGTTTGAAGACCTGATTTGTTAGAAGACCAGAAAGTAAAGGACATCTTAAATTTTATAAATTAAAGGTAAATTGAATTTGTAGACCCTGGTTACTTGTATGTTGCATTCACTGCTCATGTCAGCCAGCCTAGTTTCACTGCCACCAGTCCCATTTGAAGTGCATGCATTAGCTTAATGCATTCAGTAACTGATTACTTACTGGGAATTTCATATAACAGCCTTTTCATTTAAATACAAAAAGGTAATAATCAAGTGTACTACACTTCCTTTTACTATGGTAGCATTCTTAATATTTGTAAAATACACACACACAAAGATATTTCTCACACTAGTGAAACTAAGCATCTTCTGAAACATCTTATAGCTGCAAAACAGATGTGCAGTATAAATACTGGCACATCACATTAGTCCTTTATCTGGTAGTAGTAGTTATTACATGCAGGCTTTGCCTGAAGCTGTAATGTTTAAGATACAATGACTTAAAAAGCAATTTAGTTCTGCCCTACAGATACCATTATCTAGTTCTCAAAATAGATTTCCCACTTCTGAATCAGCTGCTAGCACTTAACTGACTCTAACACTTATGTTCTGAAAGCATCAAGCAGGTCCTCTGCCTGTTAATTTATTTAATTTGTTCATATTAATTTGTTTAATTTATTTGTTCATTTTGTCATTTTGTCGTTTTTCCTCTTCCATCCACATGCTGGGTAGTTCATTCCACTGTCTGCAGTTTACTTATGCATGCCTTAAGATGAAGAGAACCATTTGAAGCAGACCCTTCTATCTAAAGCTTTTGTAATTTGGAAAAAGATGGTTTTTCCTCATTTTGAGATATTCTTTAATATAATTTTCCAATGTTTACTTACATTTCATTTCATCTAGTAATCTGGATAAGGTTGATCTGTCCTCTTTCAGCATAAGACTTTCTGATAAATAGCTGCAAAGAGATATTGAAGAAAAAGTTTTTAAAGTGTCATAATAATTTATGGCAATCATTAGTAAGTTAGTAAAAAGTGTATTATTTTTAATTAACATCTCCCAGAGCTTTATAATTAGATAAGTAAGAACGCTTTGTTTACTTAAGCACTATAAAGTGATAAAAAAGCTAATCTGTCACTAAGAAGGTAACAAAAATATTCCACCAGTCACGAAGAAATAGTACTACCAAATTAAGTATTTCTAAGCCTCAGAGAGCTAAGTCAAATTAAGTTTATGACTTTATGACAATATCATGCTATTGTACAAAATGCCCACAGGACAAGCAACCACTACAGTGGTTTTCAGACTGAGCAACAGCAGAGCATGCAAGACAGGCCTGCTTCTTTTGGCAGCTGAAAGCTATTAATAAATGTCTTGCATGAGCCTATAGGTCCTTTCCTCTTTCCAATGAGATCAAACTTCCCTTTAGTAAGCACACTAATGCAGACTGCCTGGATAAAACAGACATGAGCAATCGTCCTCACCAACACCCACAACAACCAAGGAGTTCTATCCCTTCCCCCATAACAGCAACAGGTTTTCCAATTCCCACGTGTTCTGTACCACCTCTAGAGCTGCACCTGACCAGATCATCAGATTCTCTCACGTCTGGCAGCAAAAACTCACATCAAACAGTAAATGACAAGGTTATAACAACTGTATGGTGCAGACAGATAAAGACTTGAATTCTTCCTGAATGTGCAAACAAAGTTCAGACACCTTGAATCACACATTATCTACAAATTATTTTCGTTCTTTTTGCAAGCACAGTTTTCTGAATTTTGGCATGAGCAGTACAGAATATAGATTTAAGAATGAGATCAAGTTTCAAGTTAAAGTAAGCACCTGAATGTTTTTACACAATTCTCAGAAGACAGTGAATCCTGTAAGGAATACTCCCAACACTCCTTATTTTAGAACTAGAGACATTTGAGATACATTTAGAACAGATGGAAGATTTTATTTTAAAAGAACGTTTTGGATTTAGAACAGGTGTTACACACCAGATGCAAAATGCTCACAGGTAGTGGCATGATATTAAAACATGCCAGGTACATCTCCTTACAGCAACCACTTCTGCTGTTCATCTGAAGAAAAGCATGTTTTGTCTGTAAGAGAACTAAACAAAACAAACTACACATTTCAGCAAAAGTATCAAAGTGTTTGACAGTACCTCTGCAAACACCAGTGGCAAAGACACAAAAGGGCAAGAAAAGATTGATTTAAAGCAACACATGACCCCTGGTGCATATCCATGGAAACTGAACAGTTGCAGCAGCCAAACACAGCATGTTATAGCATGCCCATTAGCTATCAGTTCAGTGAAATTTCAGTTGACTCTCAGTTTCAACCATATTTCCACTTTCTTCCCTGTGTAACCCTCAAACTGAGTCTGAAAATCCTATGCTAATCTAATTAAGGCAAAGTCATCAGTTTTTTTTAACTTCTTCCAAAGGAATATAAAAACCAGACAGCAACTGACTGCTCTCATCACCTATTTGTGAAAATTAACAGTACCACTGCCATTCTAAAACAAAAAGAACAGAAAAGTGCTAGCAATCACTAAATACACAATTGTAGTAGTTAAGAATGTCTAGAGCAAAACAATTTTATACAAGAAGCAAACAGATTGTTTAAATCACGCATATAAGAAAAAAAATACTACCTTTCCATATTAATTCCTGCTCTTGAGCCACTAGATAATATCGCACTGAGAGCGATCTGTGAGGGAGTAAAGAGCAGATATGCATCTGTCAGAGCCACTCGGTTAAGGAAGTCATCAGCTGTTTTCCTTAAAATTTCAGGATTTTCCAGCACTGGATAGCGAGTCTAAAAAGTAATGATTTAGAAAAAAAGGCAGCTGTTTGTCATTCCTGTTCATAAGCTCAGAACACACAATTCAACAGTATTTTATAAAGTTGAAAAGTAGCAGACCATATCTTTATTCCAAAAACATCCTAAATAACTTAAAGACCACAAGTAAAACAACTATCTTTCAGGTATCTGTCTATCACTATAGAAATTAGATCTTTTAAATCGCAGGCACAAAAGGAAATAAAGTTTTTCAAGATAATGCATGACAGACTTGTATTACTGTACTACACAGAGCATAAGCATATCAGAGAGTATTACCTTAATATCAATTAGAAATCCCTCAAATGGCCTGTATGGATTGTGGATGATGAGATGGAAGTTCAGTTGCTGAATAAGTAGCAGTTCATATTCCAGTATTTGTTCAAGAGCTTTTTCCTGTCCAAGAGGACTTTCTCGAAGGTTACCAACAAACTGTGCACTGGATACATTAAATTCATCTACTTTGCAGGCCAAAAATGTGCATGTTAGCCTTGAGGAGGGAAAAAACCAAAAAAGCAAACAATTGACATATGCAGCATCCATTCATCCATATGTTCTGAATACAGCAAAAATATAGTGAAACTCACCATATTTTGTCTTTACTTCTACTTAAGCTCTCAGATTTTCTTTCTTGTTTTTTTTTTCAGGACTTTACAAATATAAAAATCATACCTCTAATATTCCATTTGATAGAGTAACTCAAGAAGTGTTGATAACTCACATTATTATCCGAGGATGATGCTCCATCACTGAGTTATTGAGGTAAAAACGTTTGAAATACATGCAAGCTGTTCCCTAAATTGAAAAAAGTGGGGAGGGGAAAAAAATAAAAATGGACTAAGATAAAATAAATATAAATACATAAAAATAAAAAAAAACACCCACAAACCAGGAAAGTTTGGATATATACTACAGGCACACAGGATACACTGAGCCACTAAGACACATACAGCCATTAAATGTCATTAACTATTTCAAACTTTATTTTTGCCTGCAAGAACCTTACATTACAACTGTAATACAAAATAATTGTCTTTGTTTTTAGACACGTTATAGAAGACAATGCTTAAAAAGCCAACAGTATCTTTATGAAAAGAACTGGGTATTATAATGAAATTTAAAAATCAAAGGCTGAAAAAATCATCCAGAAAGCTGCAAGCAATTTAAACCATTTGATTTTTTACATCAGTAAATTTTGCAGCATGTTCATCAGCATGAAAGCTGATGCTTTCCAAAATGAAACTCTGCAGGAACTACTTCTCAAACATCAGTCTGGCTTCACAGAACATGCCATGGGAGTGACTGCTATCTTTCAAAGGCACCCTCAAGCGTGGTACTCTTCACCACACCTGCGTGGAAAAGGGAGGACTAACAGGGGACAATGTAAATCATACATCTTAATGTCTTAGTGAGAGAGAAACAATTTCACTCCGTTCTTCAGCTCTACATCCCCACTTCTCCCTTATGAAAGACACTCTTTTGCATTCAAGACACATAAGTTCAAGGTAATTTTGCTTTTCCTTTGTAGGATAATATTTTGCCAGTACACAATCCAGCTTATTTTGTGGTCAGAGAAGCAGTAATGCTGGAGAAACATCTGAGTGACAACCCAAATTTCGGATCGTCTCCTTTAGCGACTGGGAGATTGTTTCATTGTATCATCAAACATTACCAGCAACCATCTACGACTATTTTGTTTCTACTCTTCGCTAAGGGGAAATAAAACAATTCAGTTACCCAAGCAAGTTTAAGAGCCACAAGCAAAAGATCACGTTGAAAAACATCAGATTCTGAAATGGCTACACGTGTCAGAAAACGAAACAAGGAGAAAAAAACCCCAAAAAACAAAAAGCCCCAAAAAAACCAAAAAGCGGCCACATACTGTAGTGCTAGAAAAGAGAAAAGAGATAAAGAGATTTAAAAATATCCGCGCCCTCAAGAACAAGCCAAGCAGACAGCAAGCGATGGAATAAGGAGGGCCGAGGCGGCGGCTCCTCCTCGCCTCGCTTACCACAACGGACCGCGGCATCGCGGGCTTGAATGCGGCGCAGAAGTCCAGCAGCCTCTTCTCGTAGTACTTGCATAGCGCCAGCTCCTCGTGCGGCTCCAGCAGCACCGGGTCACCCTGCGGCACCTTGGGAGAAGCAAAGCCGCACCTGAGTCCGCCGCAGTCTCACCCTGCCGCCCCGCGCCCGCAACTCCTGCGTCCCCGCGCACCTTCCCGCTGGCCGCCGCCCTGGCCCGGGCCCGGCGGTTCCCCTCAGCGCGGCGCCGCGCCAGTTCCTCCTCGCCATGGAAGGTCCAGTGCCGGCGCTGCGTGCTGCTGTGGAACATTGCCCAGCAACATGGCCGCATTCGCGCGCGGCACGCCGGGAGCCGCCTTAGCGCGTGGGGCGCGGCTGAGCGGGCCCAGGACACTCCCTCCTGGGAGAGGGATGCTTCCGTTTCCTTTTCCAAACTTTTCCGTTTTAAGGAAGAGCTATGGCAAAACAGGATGTCGTAAACTTTTGCAGAATAGCAGCACTCTTGTGTTTCTCTTTGGTTGTATTCATATATACTTGCAAATTTACATTGCACTTGTGCAGCCTTAAGTCGAGTGCTGGGGACAGTTTATGTAAGACATTAATGTAAGACATTGTAATGTCCACAATGTAAGACATTAAGCTATTGTAGAGCATGCAAAGGAAGGCCACAATGTAATACATTAAGCTATTGTAGAGCATGCAAAGGAAGGCCATGAGGATGATGAGGGCCTGGAGCAGAAGCCATATGAGGAGTAGCTGAGGCCACTTGGAATGTTCAGCCTGGAAGAGACTGATGGGAGACCTCATCATTGCAGCCTCCAACTTCCTTGTGAGGGAAGAGGAGGGGTAGATACTGATCTCTTCTCTGTAGTGACCAGTGACAGGACTAAATACCATGAAGTTAAGTCATTGGAGGTTTAGGTTGGATATCAGGAAAAAGTTTTTGACCCACAGGGTAATTGAGCACTGGAACAAACTCCCCAGGGAAGTGGTCACATCACCAAGTCTGATGGATTCAAGAAGTGTTTAGACAATGCTCTCAGGCGCATTGTGTGATTTTTGGAGTGTCCTGTGCAGGCCCAGGAACTGAACTTTATGATTGTGGTGGGTCTCTGCCAAGTCAGAATATTCTGTGATTCTGCTCCCTTAAGTTCCTTCAGTAGTCTTCTGCTCTCCCCAGATAATCACTAGATATAAAATCCAATTATGCTTTTAAGGAAGCAGCATTTCTTAGCCTCCATGCTTCAGCCAGAAATTTTAGATATTACTGTGTATTATCTAATGTTTGTATTTGAAGTGTATGTGGAAAGGATGTAGAACATACTTTTGTGGACAGTCACAGGCCTTTTAGTTGAAAGTGTTACCCAAAAAGTTGTGTTCTTTTAAAAGGAGTTTATGCAGCAGTGGGGGAAGATTCTTTTAACCTTAGCACAATAGCGTTTGATCCCTGTCTAGGATTAATGCTTTGTTTCGTATCATACAGTGCTTACTACAAACACTAGGGATAAATGTGGCTTTGTTTTAACTCTCTACATCTGTGACTAATAAGCCTTGTGCCAACTCGTGTGGGAAATTACATAACTTTACTCATAATTTTTCTAATTAATTATTTTAATTATTTCTTCTAATTAATTGTTTTAATTATTTTGAGGCAATGTAATTTTACACTTTGTCATATGCCATTAGAGCCAGCATTTAGCAAGGTTGTAATAAGCCAGTATTGTGGGAACATAGTTTGGGAAAATTACTGAAACTTTAAGTTTCACTGAAACAAATGTAATCAACACTTCAATATATTTCAATGATCTCAGATCTAGAAGGATGTTAACAAACCCTTGCAGACACATCTATTTTTGAAAGTGGACACAAGTAATGCAAAATTCATGAACCGCAAGGACATTTTGCAGAAACTCAAGATAAGGAGGAAAATAACCAAGTCAGTTCAGCAGTTGTACTGGATGTGCTGTTTGGGAAAAAGATAATAAAAAGACTGAAGAACTGGGCTAATTAGCATGACAAGTGAGAAAACAAACAGGAGATAGAATACTAATTAATGAAGATAATTATGGAACTTACAGCAAATGAACATTAATTTCTTTATTTGCTACAGTATAAATAGTGAGAAGTTTTGAAAGTGGATGTGTGTATTAGGTGAAGCTATCACCATGCACCCAACATATTGAAAAAATATCACTTTCTAACAACAAACTGATTAGAGAGTTTCTTTCCTGGTTTTTAGTGACAAAGTGGTTCCTTGCAAGCAGACATGACAAAGGTCCTTTCCCTAAACTACACAAGAAATAATTATCTATATAGTCTGAATCCATCAATACTTTGCCTTAAATTACAGTAATCAGCACATCCAACATATATACAGTTTCAAATCTGGCCAAATCTGAGTTCCAAGAGCTATATGTGCAAAAATACCAAAAGGGTGTTGTTGTGCATCTGATTGTGACAGTTCCATCCCAAATTAGAGACTCCTAAATAGTGCACATTATTATAACAGTCAGTTTACTGAGTATTATTGTAAATATGTTATTTCACAACATCACTCGAAGAGTAAAATGTAAGAATAGGAATGAAAATTTCTAAAAAGAGCAGTACAAAGGATAAAGCAGATTTTTTTTTTTATTATTCCATTTCTTTTATACCTTTCACTTTTCAGAATCTGTACTTCAAAGGTGTTTGGGTTTAGGGATACCAAAGAACTACAGACTTCACTGATTGTAGTTCTTCCTTAACTAGAAATGGTGTGATGAATTATTAGTGATTCTAAAATTCAGTCTGAAAGTGGACAAAGGCAGATTTAGATAAAATATCTGGAAACGTAATCATAAATACTCAGAGAAACCTTCTTGTGCTTGCTCAACTCAGTCGAATTTAAATGTTTGATGTCTGTCTTTTATGCTGGTTTTAAACATGTTATATGCAGAGATATTTTTTTCAGAGTTATGCAAGTAGCAAGGTAACCAAGCAAAACAACTTGTAAGCTAATAAAAGCTCTCCAGTAGCCTAGGTATTTTAATGTGTTCAAAAATTTCTCAGAAAAATTGCCCAAAGGTGTAAATAAATACCTACCACCTAAATGCGGAACACATTTTCCAGCTGGTGACCATGAGTAAGACCATGACCCTTCTGCAATGTGTGACACCAGTGAGATGTAGCAGCTCTTCATTCTCTGCTCTCTCCAATCTGTCACAAGAAAGAAGGCAAGGATGGAGTGCCATAATGCTCCAGATCATGAAGCACTTCTGAGAAAGCACAGGGGTGATACTTGGAGAGGAGCCATGAGCAGCAGAGAAAACCAGGCAGGTCAGTATTGTTGGAATGCCAGGCTTTGGAGAGTCACCAAAGCCACTCTGTGATGTCAGACTCCACAGTTCGGTGATGCACAAGGGATGTCTGTCCCAATGTTCCATTGCACTTCTGCACATGTCTGGGGGCTACTGCAACTCCACTTTCTACTTCTCTTCTTCTCACCCATGTTTTCTGCACACCATAGGTATTTCATGCCAGTCACCAAAGGCTCTGTCTTTTTTTCCCCTCCTCATGCCCTTGCACTTCACTTTCTCCAGTCGTGCCTCTACTGACATAAGCAACTCCACCCCAATGACCCTTTTCCCCATTGCTTCCAACATGGACTGATCTGGTCCCAAACTTGGGATTTGGGACAGCATTATTTTAGTCAATGTCAAACTTACATGATGTTGCATATATAGCTGCACTGATGCTTCTCTCTTGCAAGGCTCCCCTCCCCAACATGTGTCTAGTTCTCCTGTCTGTGTTATGCACGGGTTATCCGTACATTTTGGCCATCTCTTGGGAAACACTCCTTCATGGATTGTGAAATCCAGCCATTCTTCTTAGCGCCATCTGAAACTTTTCCTGGTTTCCTGAACCCCCCGTGTTGAATTTCTGATGATCTGTGATATACCAGACTTTAACCTTGCTATTTCCCATAGCTGTGGATCCATTAACTCAGATCTCATTGTTTGGTGATGCCCTCCTTTCCAGGGTGCAGCAGAGACTCCTGCAGAGGGCAGCCTCCAACTAGCAGTGTATTTCCAAGAGTCACAGGAGCAGACATCACATTGTAACATTATTGGGTCGTAGAGGTGATAGTAATCCTAATAATAATCCTAGGAATAATCATAATCCTGGTGGTAGATTATGACTGTGACCTCACATCCATTGCTGTGTAAATTCAGGTGCTGTCAGAGCCTGGGCCAACCTGTGGGAACAAGCACATATGGCCACGGGGAAGGAGTGGAGCTGCCCCATCTGCTGTGATGCACCAGATGATGTCGCTTACGCGATGCCCTGTGGCCACCGATTCTGCCTTGGCTGCATCCTGCGTTGGGCAGAAAGAAACCCTGCCTGCCCACTCTGCAGAAGATCCATCTTGACAGTGAAGTTTTCTGACCATGGTGGAGATGACTACCTACACTGTGTTATCACACCTCCCAGAGAGTTGCCAGAGATAAGCAGCCGGGCAACAGAAGCTCCTAGACGCCTGGCTGAAAACAGATCCCTTGGCCCTGCAGATTCCCTTGCTGCCTCTCCACAAGGAATAACAGCCCCTACTCAGCAGCAGGCTGCAGGAGCAGAGGCTGTGGGTGGCATCCTGCCTGAGCTTTGGGCAGAACTTTTCCGAAGACGACGGAACCTCCTGGACCCTGTGAGGCCATGGCTGCGCCAGGGGCTGGAGATGATATATGGGGGCGAGTGGTATCAGGTGAAGAGTGCAGAGAGCGGCATTGTGCTCGCACTCTGTGTCTATGGTCCAGATAGAGAAGTCTTGGTCCAGAGATTGCAGCCCCGTCTCCAGCAATACACTGCATCACTGGTCCATGGCATCCTCAATATCATTGAGACCCAGTGCAGTGAGGAGGTTCAGAGGCTGCGGCACTCTCACACTGCCAGGGAGGAGGATGAGATCCCTTCTGCCAGCTCTGATCCCCCTGCCTCCCAGGAGGGTGCTCCCGCCCTCAGCCAGGCCCCACCTAGTGGCATTGCAAATTTCAACATGGAGGAGGAAGACAGCACATTGGAGACTGCTCTTCATGGACGTCCCAGCCATTCCCCATCTGTGTCCATCCCTGCAGAGCAGGAGCAGCCCCAGGAAGAGCTGGGGGAGACAAGAGTGGCTGCAGGTTCCTCTGCTCCCAGCCAGGGCAGTGACCCCTCACCTGCGACATCCCAGTGCCACCGAAAGAGAAGGACCCCTGGGTCCCCAGATGCCTCCCATTCCAGCAAGAGGCAGCGCCATGATCAGCTCTAGAAAGGTCACAGCAAGCCTTTACTCAA